CTGATGATAGAGAGATAGCTTCCAGTCTTTTACCATGAAGTATGATTGTTAGCTGTGAGTTTTTTATAAATACTTTTTATTTTGGTAAGGAATTTTCCTTATATCTTTAGTTTTCTGAGTCTTTTTTTAATAATTAAAGGATATCGAATTTTGTTAAATGTTTTTTCTGTATTCAATTGAGATGATCATGTGGGTTTTTCATTCTGTTATGTGGTGTGTTATGTTAATTGATTTTTATACATTGAACCACCCTTGCATTCCTACGGTAAATCCCATTTGGTCATAGTATATAATTATTTTAATACACTAACTTTGGTTTCCTGGTATTTTGTTAAGGGTTCTCTCTTTAAGAAAAAGAAATGTCATATATCTAAATTATTCTTCCCTTTGCTAATTTGTACTCTTCTTTTCTTCTCATTATTCAGAATTAACCAACATTAATATTTGGCTGTGTTTTATTCACATTTTTTGCTGTGTCTTTGTGATCTGATAGCTTCCAACAGTGATGATATAATACCATAAGTGATAAATGTTTTCCTGACTTCCACCCCTTTCTGTCTTAAGCTTTTCCAACATTACTCCTCATGAGAAATTTTAATAATGTCCCTTCACAATGATATTTTTTTCCTACAGTGAAGAAGGGTAATTGGGAAAATAATGTTCTTTGACATTTCAATATTGGAACACATGGAAAAATGAGTGCCTCTGACACCTCCACTGGACTGTTTTTATAAGCTCTGATTCCTGTTTCATAACCTAAGGCTTTTGTCACATCCTTGCTCTTTTAAAAGTCTCCAGAAAAGGTTGTTTCTAAGGGTAGCAAGACTTGGCAAAGGACAGTTCTTCGATCTTGTTCTGTGGTCATGGTTTTTTTCCAGCCGTTGGGTCAGGGAAATATACTTTATTTATGGAAACCAGAGAATAAACTGAGCCAACTCAGAAAAGACCTTTCCAAACACATACCATGTTTCCCCGAAAATAAGACCTACCCATAAAATAAGTCCTAGCAGGATTTCTAAGCATTTGTGCAATAGAAGCCCTACCCCCAAAATAAGACCTAGTGATGGGCGTGGCTACGCAGCGTATCTGCACAACCCATGCATTTCGTGGCGGAGCAGTAAAGAAGATGAGCAGCCCTTCTCATCTGCCCCATCGTGACAGCTACTACCCCAGAGGTGACCGGAAAGGTGTGGGCAGCCCCACCAACAAGGTCGGCTCCTCCTGTCAGGTCTCGGCCATCCTGTGCGTGCTGCAAGCTGAGGCTTTGAGGGGAAAATAACACATCCCCTGAAAATAAGCCCTAGCGTGTCTTCTTGAGGAAAAATGAATATAAGACCCTGTCTTATTTTGGGGGAAACACAGTACAAGTGTTGGATGAAACAGAAACAAAGGCAGGCTTTCGATACATAATTAAGCTCAAAAGAAATATGAGGACATCCAGGTACCAAAAGCAGAGACATCAAAGCTAGCAGGGTGATAGAGAACTGAAGCTGAGGGGGCTGCATAGGAACTTCAGGCCACATGTGGGCCCAGAGGCAGGAGTTTCAGGGGTTAATTCGGGGACAGGAGATAAGGCCTCCGTCCATGTGAAATACAACAAAACCCCATGCGTCAAGCTGCAAATTTTGTAGGGGTGGAGCAGTGTGTACAGCTAGTGTTACAGCCCTTGTTACAGCTCTTATTCATTTGACCGGGGAAAGAACCGAGCGGCACACGAAGAGTCGGAGAACAGCCTTTGTTCTTCTACAGCAGACTCAGCACACCTAGTGTTACAGCTCTCTTCCTGTTTTCCGACGTTCTCTCGATGTTCTCTCGATGTACTCCCCTTCCTGCCCTTCTGCCCCTGCTTTTATACCCTTGGTAGGGCTCAAGAAGCATCCAATCAACTACAGGCTTTAACATCCAATTAGCAACAGGCTTTAACATCCAATCAACAACAAGCTTTAACATCCAATCAAAAACAGTGGGATTCAAAAATTACCCAATCAGGATCACGCAAGCAGCATGGCCAGAAACAGGCCGTGGCATGAGGGCCTGGGGCATTCCGGCATGCGGGGGGGTCCCGGCTGCACGCGGTGCCGTGAAGCCCGGCCCCAGCAGCGTTCCTTTAACTGGCCACGCGTAGCACTGGCCCCCGGAGATGTGGAACTACGGGGAGGCGGCAATCGGCCGCGCCCTGGCACCTGATATTTTCCGCATCAGTGCCACTTTAGTAAAACATAAACTAGAAAAATTTTACTCATTAGACGGATAAAGAAGCAATGAGTCATACTGTGGTGCCCAGGGAAATGGATGGGAGAAAGAAATACCCACTAGAAATTGGAAGCCCACGTCTATGTATGAGGTCGTCTAATTTTAGATGGTCGCCAGTGCTATAGGAACCCAAACTAAGGTATTAATATAAAAGTTGATATTACCCCTAAGTCCCTGGCAGAGGTGAAAGAAAACTCATTCTGAAGAGCTAGAGCACATGTAGGAAATCAGGCATGGTGAGAGAGAGTCCCTGGGTACCACGCATAGGAAAATTAGCTCCCCAGGAACTGGAGATACAAAGAAAGTCTGAAAGAGTCAAAATACTGATGATAGAAGATACAAAGATTAAAGAATAAGAGGAGAAATAGTATGTAAGAACAGGAGGATTCAGATGAAAAATAAAATACATAGACATGAAAAGTATGAAGATTTAAATTAAAACATATTGGACAGTTTTAAAATAGACAAAGCCGAAGGGATAAAGGAAAAGGAAAATGCGGAGGAGATTCAGGGGTGTGGAGGAGAGGAGGAGATAGACCGTAGATATCACAGTCAGGGGCTGCAGGGGAAGCACACACCGTGGATGGGAGGGAGGCAGGATTCCCGGCGTTTTCCATAAGTGAAGACAAACCCTCAAGTTATTGTATCTTTTCAGGCCTGAGCACCTGAGCAGGGTATAAAAACAAATCTAGACCTAGCCCTACTAAGTGTTGTGGTGAAAACGCAGTCAGAGAAGGGCTGTGGCACAGAGTCTCTCTTAAGCGAGGAATCGAGTTTTTTGTCATATCTCATCATAAAAAGGAAGACAGAAAAGCGTGTGCGGCTCCCCAGGGGAATGAGGCTGCACCTGCCCAGCACAGAGGCGGAGGCAGGAGCCCTGGGGGAGCCCGTGTGACCCCTGTAGAGTCACCTGACGCAGCGGAGTCCCTGTTTCCTCACCTGCTGCGCGTGTGACGTGGAGGATCCCTCCCGCCTCTGTGGTTCTGTGATGCTCTGTAAGCCACGGAGCAAGGAGGAGCTTCGGGCCGGCTGGGTGGAGGGCGGGGGCAGAGCCCAGCCCTGAGTCGTCCCCACGTGGGGCCAGCAGGGAGCTGCCCAGGTGGCAGTGGGAGGGGCCCCTCTCTGCATGCCCAGCAGTGCTCAGCAGTGCCCACCGTGCAGGAATCAGACAGGTGCTGGGCAAGCGCCACACAGCCAGGACGGTCCTGTAGTTTGACTTGTCGCGTCCTGAAGCCAGACAGCCTGGGGAGCTGTGGATGGTGGGCACAGCAAGGGCCTGGAGATTATTTTATCCCGTGGGAGAAAGGTGAAGGGGAACGAATAGAAAAAGTCATTTCCTTCCTCAGCCGTCAGATGTTTTGCCGAGCTTAGCCCTTAGCTGGTGGTGAATGAAATGTTGTCATCTCAACCGACACAGTCGTCGGTGAATTTCGGCTCTAAGAGCCGCGAGGAACACCCGGGCTTCCCTCCTCTTTCCAAGGCCCCGGGAGAGCTGGGTGGGCCCTGGGTCCCCAGGAAAGGGCATCCTCAGGCTCAGGGTTTGTGGACAGAGTGGGGTGCCTGGGATTGCAAGTGCGGGGGGGCCGTACAACCTCACGTGCTCACATTCCCACAGACGGGTCAGCGGCAGGGCTGCATCCATCTGCTCCGGCTGCTGTAGCAAAGTGCCACAGGCTGGGGCCTTAACACAAGTTCATTTCTCACAGTTCCGGAGGGTAGGGGTCCGAGATCAAGGTATCTCTAGGGCTGATTTCCCCTGTGGCCTCTCTCCTTGGCCATCGCCCCTGTGTGCTCACAAGGTCCCCCCTCTGTGCTTGTCCCTGTCCCAACCACCTCCTCTGATGAGGACGCCAGTCGTACTGTATTAGGGCCCACCCTAATGACCCCGTTTTACCGTAATTACCTCTTTAAAGACCCCATCTCCAAATTCCGTCCCATTCTGCGGTGCTGGGGTTAGGGCTTCAGCCGGTGAGTGGGGTGGACACAGTTCGGCCCTGGGCATCAGCGCACTCCTGACGCCTCTTGTGGGGGCAGGCGCGAAAGCACCCTGACACTGAGAAAACAGAGCGCTCCGGCCCCTGCCTCGGCAATTTTAAAGTTCTCCCTTCTGGTTTGTAGAGACACACAGGTCTCCTCCGAGACAGCTCCGTATTTCTTCACAGCAGTGGCAACCTCAGAGGGAAAACATTCAGGAAAGGCAGGGAGAGCATCTCATGCTTATGTTTTAGAAAAGAAAACTCACCTTGGTTTTCCTTGGGGTTCAAAATAAGCACCGTGCTCTGCAGAAAGCAGCAGCCTCCGGGCGGGGGGCTGTGGCTCACAGGCAGGGCCCGGGACTACAGGTGGGTGAGGCGTGCACTGTGGAAACCGATCGCTCCCTGCAGAAGGGCTGCGGGAGGCCTGGGGCTCTGCCGGGCATGAAAAGGGCACTTGTAGTGCACTTCAGCAGGGGCAGGCAGCGCTGGGAGGAGGGAGGGAGGGTGCAGGACGGACTGCAAACAGGGCACCAGGGCACCTTTCAGAGGCGGGAGCCAGCAGCGAGGGGCGGGACAGTGTCTGCTGTAACAGGCAGCCTGGGAAACTGAGCCTGCCTTGATGTGGGGGGGCTCCCCCCACCCCAGCCCACCCGTCTGTGTCTGTCTGTCTGTCTGTCTCATTTTCAAAACTTGAGTCATTCACGAGTCCCTGTGCGATGTGCTCAGGCGTGCTCCAGCGACCCAGAGACTGACCGTGTGCCTTCCCTGCAGGCTGAACGAGCGCGACCGCCTGATCAAGAGGCTTGGCCGGAAGACGCCCCCGACCCTCTTCCGCGGCAGCTCCATCCAGCAGTCCGTCCCCCGTAAGTAGCCGTTCAGAGACCCCGGCCAGCAGCCTCGGCCGGCCGTGCTAATGGGGACAGAGCCAGACACACACTTTTGGAAGTAGAGCTTGTGTTTGGGGCCAGGCGCAAGTGTAGCTTGAATATAGGTAATTCCCTGGGACCCAGGCAGATACCCGAACGACAAAATCCTTAAACTTAACATCCTGATGTGGTTAAGATCGTTCTGTCAGCCTCCCAAGAGGAGTTTTTTTTTAAGGTTGAAGTGATACTACTTTTAAATTGATGCCCCTAAAGGTAGCAATGCAAGCTGCTTTGTGTAAATTGGCATACTAATGAAAACAGTGATAATCGATTAGGAAAAAAAATCTCTGTGCTTTCCCCAGGAGGGCTGTCCCAGGTGTGGGGTGGCATTCCCCACTCCCACCTCCAGGCCCAGGGGGGCCACACAGAGGCTGTGAAAGACACCCGCCCCTTTGTTTAGCAATGGAGCCATGGAGTCCCCAGCTGGGGTGGGGTGGGGGGTGTCCAGGCCTCCTCCAGCCCCCCTCCCCCTTTCCACATGCACATGCCCTCTCTTCCTCCCACACCCCACCCCTGCTTTCCTTTCCCTTCCTGGGGAGTTTAGAAGGAAACAACTGATTTAAAAAAAAAGGAACAGTTTATGAAAAGTGAGGCAGTGCTGTATAGCTAGTGCAGTGAAGGATCTATGTGGAGTTCAGTTGGGCTCCACCTGTCCACAGATGTTTGAAGACTTTCTCAGTGGAGGGAGGAGGAGAGCGTTGGAACTCGATCACCTTGCAGCAATGCACTCCTCCTCCCACTTTCCCACGTGGAGCATGGACATGGGAGAGAGGGCACTGACATGCTTCTGCCCTTTAATGCCCCTCCGCCCCAGGAGGTGGGTGGTGCCAGCCCCGGCAGCACGAGCAGAGGCTCAGGACAGTGGAGTGACAGGCCCAGCCTTGCCCAGGGCTCTGGGTTGCAGCAGGGGACGCCGACCCAAGAGAGAGGTCAACTCGGGAGGTTTGATGGGCAGTCCCAGGAGTACCGTCTGCAGGGCACCCGCTCTGGAGTTGGGCAGCCTGGGTCGTGTCCCTGCTCTGCCACTTTTTTGTGATCTTGGGCAAGTTACTTAATGTCTTTGTTTCTTCATCTGGAAAGTGGGCTAGCTACTATGAGAACTCACCTGGGGTTATTGGGAGAATTAAATGAGTTCATATATGCAAAGCACCTCTATCAGTGCCGGGCAGTGTAAAGAGTCCAGTGAATGTGAGGCATTATTATTCTGCCATTAGCTGAATAATTTTGGGAAACTCACCTGTTTCTCTAAATTTCTATTCTCCTCTGGGAAAAAACATGGAATCATAATAACGTGTATCTTATGCAGTCTTTGTGAGTCTCCATGACGATGTCGCCAGGCACAGATTAATAAACACAGAGATTCCCAGAACTATGGGTTCCTGCTGTGGAGCTGTGTGCTGCTCTGATAAAGGGTTCACGGTACCACAGACAGATATATATATATATAAAATATACACACATACACACACTGTGATCAAAGACCAAGTGAGACATTTATAGGAGAGTCATAAATGTCTTAAAACAACTACTCAATGTTTTTCTTAGGTCAATATTTTGAAGGCAAAAAAAAAAAAAAAAAGATCTGCTGAACAAATATAAGAAATAAGAAAGCTTCTAAAACCACACCACATTTTAAAAACACTCAGCAGCTAGTTCTAGAGCTGATGGACGACTGAGGACGTCTCTGTCATTAACAGCTAGAGGAGACACGGAGTGGTGGGGAGAGGCCCGGGGTGCCAGGTTTGGGTAGGCTGTCTCAGCCTCCCATGTCCCTCCTGAGTGTGCAGGAAGTGGAAGGAAAATCTCTCATCTTGGTAGTGCTTTCCGTTCCTGTGAGCCACCGACGTGCAGTGTTTGTCACTGCGATCTGCATGTCCTGCACGGTCGTATGTCCTCATGGTCCCCGTCGTCTTCCCCATTTCTGTGACTATTAGAAGTCTTTTTCCAGACAGCAAGCTGATGCTTGAATTAAGATGCTGTCAGAGCTCAGATTCAAAGAATGCTACTTAAGGGAAGTTTTATGCAAAAATAGTAGGGAAAAAATGGCATGATTGTATGGACCTCACCAAATGTTTTACCCGGAAAAGAAAAAAACAACTGAGAAATTCATCTGTCCCCTCCTCTCTTTCCACCTCGCCAACTCTGCCCCGGAACTCTGGCTGCGTTAGGGACTCTGGGTTAGGAAACAGGCGCATTAGGATGCCAGCCAGGTGAGTCCACGAGCGCTTCCTCCAGGCCATCGTCAGGACTTTCTGGCTGTTGGGACTTCCGGAGACATGAATGACAGTGGGAAATGCAAAGAGCTGGAGGATTCCCCTGCATTCTCCATATGGATTCAAATAACAATTAACTCTTCCTCGAGCAGAACCTGGTGAGCCGATGGTGATCTCTGTCAGGCCCAGGGCGGAAGCCGGGCAGGTGGAGGCAGGCTACGTGGTTATGTTGCCACTTCCACGGAAACCGCCTCCCACTGGGGCTCTAACTCCCACCAGACCTGGATTCTAAGAGGAAACTATCTTATCTGAACCCGGGAGGCCACCCCCACCCCCACCACCAAGGATAAACGAAACTCCTTTCATTCTTGAATTGTAGAGTCCGCTCAATTCTCAGTGCAGGTTAGGGAAGTCTCAGTGCCCAGCATTCCGGAACCGTGCCGGCAGGTGCTGGGCTGTGGGCAGCCCTGGGCAGTGGCCAGCCCTGGGCAGTGGCCACTGGGTGCTCTGCTCGCCCTGGGAGGAGAGGCTTGCAACGGGCCCAAGAGGGACACCTAGAAACCCCTCCCAACCCAGAGCGGCTGCGTCGCCCCACTGCCGGCCCCTGGGAGGCCCTTGTGGCAGTGGCGCTAACGAGAACTGAGGAAGCGACACAGCTACACGCTGAAGAAACCCCCAAACTTGGCTTCCCAGTAGACACAGGTACGTCATGATGGGAAACAGGATAAATAAAAGACAAACGCTTTTGTTCCTTCCATGTGAACGGGGAGTAGACTATTTTAAAAGCTAAGAGACCTTTCCCTAAAGGACACTCGCAAACAATGTTTATTTTTATGTCTCACTAAGCCCCCTTCATTCCCTCCCCACCCCTCAAAAAAAGGCCAGGAAAGATAGGTCGTGATCGATCTTTTTGGACTGTTGAGACACGTTCCTCTCCTTCCTGGCGTGGGTGCAGCGGCCTCCCACGTTGGTGCCCAGTGAAATCAGCCCCTGAGGGAGGGACAGGATTCTGCAGCCTGGGTGTGGCTGGCCACAGGAGTGTCCTGGAACCCCGCAGAGGGCTGGGGCTGCACAGAGTTCGGGCCTGACCTGGTCCAGGCCATTTCACAGATAAGTAAACCAAGACCCAGAGGGTTTAAGGAGCCCAACATCGCCTGGCCAAGGCACAGCCAAGCAAGGACCAGAACCAGGACCAGAGCCACCCTTTCTTGTCCCCACCCAGTGCTTCGGTCACTGGGGTCCCCAGGATCCAAGATGAAAGTTGAACGAGTGGACAAAGCCGTCTCCAGGGTGGAGAGCGCGGCAGGCCTCCGCCTGTGAAGAGAAGGGTTTTTACAAAGCGCGCTCGCGATCGCTTGGGACGGCCGGTCCTCGCCCAGAGCCGCTGCTGTGGGCTGCGGCGCGTCCCTCTGGGTGTCCAGTGGCCGCAGAGCGGGGGGCAGGCCTCCCGGCCCGGCAGCAGATCAGATGCGAAGGCAGCTGCCGCCTGGCCCCCGGCCCCTCAGGAGGACCTCAGGTGTGTCCCAGAAACGTTCTTTTTCAAAAGACCAGAGAATGAAAACGGTCCAAGGTGGCCACACAGTACACAGCCTTGTTCCCGGAGGAGACGGTGTTGTCTGCTCGGTTTTGCTTTGAAACATCCCATGGAAAGGCGTCTCCTCTTGGACCGCGGTAGAAACGCTTCACAAAGAGCACCTTGTGTGGGGTTTGGGACGGGAGGTGCTGCAGCCACATGTCGCCAGAGGGAGGCGGGAGGCTGGGCAGCCCCTCCGGAGGAGCAGAAGCTGGCAGCAGAGGTTTCCTTGTCCCCGGAGATCTCTGATCAAGCCACTTGGCGAAAACCCAGAGCTCTTAAGGGAACAGAGGTGAGTGGCGGCGTTGGCTCTTCAGTACGCGGAAGCTGACCCCGTGAAGACGAGAAAGCCCTGAGGATCAAAGTGGAGCCACCTTGCACGGAAAGCCATTCAGGAAGTTCAAGTGCACCGGGTGTGGGCCCAGGGCCAGAACAAACGAACAAGCATGCCCGCCCCCGTGAGCCTCCCCTCCCAGCTGGCTTCCGCCTCCCCTGGGCTCAGGGACCCGCCTGCGCTTGAACCCAGCTACCGGGGGGCTCACACCGGTCTGGCCGCTGCTCCACCATGGCTACCACGTGGTGGGGCCTTTTGGTTTGTGGACTTTGCTCTGCTAGGAAGGGAAGTCAGCAAGTGGCGGAAGCCCCCGTGGAAGATGCCTGTCTGCAGCTCTCCTGCACCGTCGCTCTGCCTTCACCCCGCCCATCCTCTCCCTCCCCCGGCCTTGCTGCCCCTGTGCCCCAGGCCACTCCCGGCCTCCTCTGCAGACAAGCCCTGGCCTCCCGCGGTGGCCCAGCCGAGACTGTGGGTTTCTCGGGGGAGAGCTATGCTATCTGGCAGAGCCGGGAAGCCGGCCGGGCACTGCAGCCTCGGCTTACGGCACACGCCCGGTAAGAAGACAGCTGGGGCGTCATCTTCTGACGTCTCCAGGAAGACTCACAGTTGCCACCCTGTGTCCTGGTACCCTAGAAATTTCCTTTGTAAGCTGAAGGCTGAGGAAACCAACCAGCAATCCAGGGCACACTCTCTGACTTCTGTGTTTCCTTTTGAAGAGGATGACAGTGAACCGACAGCTCCGCGGGTGAATCAGAAACACACAGGCACGGGACAGCCACGACTGTCAGTCTTGGCCAGAACGTCTGACTGAGCCGTGGGGCCCTCCCACTCCGCTGACACAGAGCGAGCCTCGCAAACGTCCTTTCTGTGGGAAGGGCCAGCTGGAAGTGGAGCCCCACTGTGCGCTTCTGAACCCTGAACCTCTGCCCGAGCTGGAGACGCAGGAGGGCGTGGGCCCTGGGGGCGCGCTGCCTGGGTTTGCCGCCCAGCCCTGCCCCTCTGTGTCTGTGACCTCGGGCAAGTCACAAAAATCTCTGTGCCTCGGTTTTCCCATCTGTGAAGTGGGAAGAATATGCTCACACATCTCATAGGGTTGCTGGGAGAAATTAAATGAGCTACTTGTAAACAGCATCTAGAACAGTGGCTCATGCACATAGATAGCATCTAGTAAGCGTTTGCTGTAATTTACTTTATGAGTACTATATGAACTGATTGTAAGAACCGGAGTTTCTGTGGCCACAGATCTGACACTGAGGTCCTCCTGACTTCATAGTGTGACCTTTTTCCTTTTTTACGTGGAAGCAGACCCACTCTGATCTCTCGTTAGCAGCCCTGGTCAGTCCGGTTTCAGCAGAAGCATCCTGCGCGCCTTGCCGGCTCTCACTGTCCACACCGCGTGTGTTTCCCCCGCACGTTTGCAGCTCCACGCCTTAGCCGGCGGCCTGCAGCGTCAGGCAGATGGGGCGTTTCTTCCCGAAGAGTGATGGGGAAGTGGAGTCGTGGGCCAGTGACCCCCGTGTGTGCTGAGCTCAGCTGCAGCCCCCAGGGACAGGAAACCTGCCCCCCGCCCCCCGGGGCCATCCCCACCTCGGCAGCAGCAGCCAGATGGACCAGGCCGGTCAGGCCGCAGCCCGCCACCCCCCTGCCGCGGTCCCCTCCACGGTCACCGGTTTCCACTCCCCCCGCCCCCCGGGGCCCCACTCGCCTTGCAAGGCTAAGGAGGCGGGTCACCTGCGTGCTCCCGCAAAAGCGGCTTATTCCAGGCCCGGTGTGGTCCCCACCCCCAGGTAACCTGCCCCGCCTGTGTGCTTCTCTTCCAGATGGGTACGCTTTTTCTCAAGAAGAGCACGGGGCCGTCACTCAGGAAGAAATAGTCCGTGCTTACGACACCACCAAAAAGAAATCGAGGAAGAAATAAGACTCGAGTTCTCCCGACCGGTTCCAGGAAGGAGGTTCAGTTTGCTGCACACAGTGTTACCACGTCCTTGTCCGGAAGAGACTGGCGTGGGCAGCCGACCCACCGGACACACGTTTCTGTGGCCTTAGCCAAGCGGTTTGTCAGCTCCCTCCCCGTCCGTCTGCAGCGCTTAGCCTGACCGTCGTTTACCTTGTTAGGAAGCATTCAGCTGTGCTCTGTGAGGTGCGAAATTAAAGACATCATGTCTCGCCGATATTTAAGCATCAGCGCTGGCCGTTCTGGGAGAGAGGGAAAGGGGTTTTATGTCGCCTGCGAGGCGGGTCACGAGGGCCGCGCGCGCTTCCTGTTTGGGCGACACGCGGATCGGGTCCGGCGGCCGGTGCAGACTGTGCTCCCGGCAGGCTGCGCTTGCTCGCTTCGATGCCGGCTTTGTTTGTATGAATGAAGCTGGCGTAAACTTCCTGATTGCAGTGAAATCACAAAAGGCTGTATCTGGGTGTTTGAACCCCGAGAACGCGTGTTTGAAGCTCTCGGCCACATCCCCAGCTGGGCAGAGCCATCCACGTTCCGGCAGAGCCCTCTGCACCCAGGTTCCAGGTGCCGTCGGCCCCGTCCCGCCTTGGCTTTCCGGCGTCCCTCGTCCCCAGGCCTTGTGCATGGCTGGCCACTGTGCCCAGTGCATGGCAGCTGGCGGGCCACCAGCCCAAACCTGCACTTTCCCTGGTTCCAGCGCGGATTCAAACACAGACGCGAGAAACCCCTTCTTCCGCCACTCTTTTCATTCTAGACCTGGAGAAAAGACTTGCAGGCACTCTGCGTACACTCTCAGTGTCTATCTGCCTCTCTCTGACAAGGGGGTACCTGTGGGCCAGGGTGGTGGCGGACCCCCTCCGGCACCCCGACCGCCGTCGGGCTCTGAGTACTCACTTCCCAACCGCCAGCCAGCCCACTGGGCCTGGGGGCCACTTAAATCGGAACCCACGCTTGTTTCCTTAGGGTGCGGAGCACAGTTTGGATGTTCGCTGTTGGGAAGTGAATGGATTCATGACGTACCTGTGCAGGGAAGGGGCACACCTGTCACTCTGTAGCTGCGGAGTCAGAGGTGCGGCAAACCCAGACGGGAGGGTATAGGATGTTGAGGGAGGTGGAGATGACAACCACAGAAGCCCTCGGTGGGAGAAGGAAGGGCGAGGGGACACTGGGAGGAGGACACAGAGGAATTGCCCGCCAGATCTCCACGGTAGAAACTGTGAAATCAAGCCCTGAGGCCCAGACGGTGGTCACCATCAGCCTGGCATGTGTACGGGGACTTCAACAAGACTGGGACGTGCCGTTTTAACTGAAATGAGCTCCAAGCATTTCAAGGAAACAGCTTTTTGTTAATGTTGACATGGTTCCCTTCCTTTATCCATCCGCGTTAGACATGGGCACCTTCCTGGGTGCGCAGCACCCTGGATTCCGAGACCAGGAGGGAAGGGCGCCGAGTCTCTGCCTTTCCCGCCCCGCAGGCTCCCGCTGCTGCATCTAGACAGCACCCTCCCTCGGGCATGGCGGTGAGCGCCTGGAGCCCTGAATGAGCAGCCAGGCTGGGGGCACACGCTCCCCTCTTTGTTTTGGTTGTGAAACCAGATTTTTGGACGGCTTAAATGCTCCTGGGCAGCCGTCCCTGGCTGAAATGGCGTGGGCCCTACTGGGGAGGGTGGCGCTGAGTGACAGATACGACAGCATGCACTTTGCTCCCTAGCTCTTTATTTGCAGAACATCCACAGTGTATTGGGCACTGAGCCAATTCAGAATGCAATTTGCATCGACTAAGGAAATTGATCCTCACTTAGGAGGGGACTGGGATGCAGAGAGAGAGTCCTGGGAGAAGCAGAACAACGCAATCAATGGGTGAGTCTCAAAAGATGGGCATTCCTTTCTCCCCAAGGCGAAGGAAACATTTTAAAATACCAGAGCTCTCTCAGCAAGTCCTTACGGAAGGACTATAATGCAGGAATGACAACACAAACTGTGCCTGTGATTAACACAACACACCAAGCATATGTCTTCATTGCACCCCCAGAAAGACGATGGCCAAAATGCAGGGGAGAAACGAGAGTTGGAATTGAATGTGCATTAGGCATGTTAACTGTTTTGTGTCATTTGGGAACCAAACCCATGTAGAAAGAGTGAATTAAAACTCAATTCCTTGCCCAACACTTAGCTCTGTCTTGAACTTGAAGCCTTCCAAATCAGATGTGTGAATTTAAATGTGAGTTTGTGTTGCTTGGTTTTTTTTAATTTTTATTTTTTACATTAAAGTAGGGTTCACATTGTCTGGGATTTAAGCAGACAGGTGTATTTTCCTGTTTTGAGAAGAAGACTAAACAATTGTTGCGATTACGTACACACGGAAGAGAGCGCTAGAAGGGATGTCTTTCTATTTATCCTCTCCTGTGATTAAGATTTCTTGTAGCCAAATGACTAAATTGGGTTTCTGGGAGGAGCAGCTGTCACTACATGTGATGCATAATATTTAGCCAGGGCCGACTCGGGGCTGCGCCATTTGTTCTGTCTTTAAACTGAGGTCAGGGTGTCACATACAACCCCTCCCCAGGGAGCAGGGGGGATTGGACTAGGTTGCATACCCTGGCTGACATCTCAGCAAGAGAAATGCCACATGGGACTTGTCACTCTGCCACACACTGAGTGACTCGCAGGCTGGCAGGTCAGACTCGGTCAGCACTCCAGGGTCCGACTCTGGGCTGAGCTGAACTGGCGGAAAGCAGCCAGGCCAACCCTCGGTCTAGCGCGGCCCACAGACAGCCCGCTCCTGTTTGAGTACGCCCTGTTCTGGATGACTCTGCAAAAGGAAAAGACCAGCCCTGCCCCGAGCTTAGGTCTGGGTGTCTGCCGCACACCGGCATGTGCCCACAAGGGCAGCCGTGGAAAACACACTGAGAAGGGAGGGGAGAGCAGAGCAAACCCATATTTCTGCATGGCAGTCTGGAATGGGCTTTGTGCAAACTTAGGGGGCTGGCACGGCTAGCCTGCTTCTGTGCAGAATATTAGAGTTGGGTGTCTGCCGCACAGCGGCATGTGCCCACAAGGGCAGCCGTGGAAAACACACTGAGAAGGGAGGGGAGAGCAGAGCAAACCCCCATTTCTGCATGGCAGTCTGGAATGGGCTTTGTGCAAACTTAGTGGAGCTGGCACGGCTAGCCTGCTTCTGTGCAGAATATTTGAGCTTCTCGACCAGGGTTGTGTTCAGCCATCCCCAACACACACGTGCACCCGTGAAAACAAAAACGTAATAAGCCGCTTGGATCAGCACACCATACACAACATGTGCATTGGAGAAGGGAGACGCTGTTTCTTTAACATCTATAGAGAAACATGCTCAGGAGCAAACTTGGGTTTCAGGAGGGCTCGGCTGAGAACTGTTTACATTTTCTCTTCCTGGACGGGGCTTCATGTCTACCACAAGGGCAGCTGGCAGTGAAAATCAGTAATACCGTGTCAAGAAGCAGTGAATAATAGGAAAAAAAACCCTGAGTCTAGGTAACGAATGTCTGAAGATGCATATGGGTGTATCTATTTATTACAGGCCTGAAGGCTCAATTTTTAAAAGCTATAGTCTATAATCTCCATTTGTTATTACAATGACCCTTTGTCTTGTTTTCTTGCACCATGAAGACTTTTTTGTCAGGTATTTCTGTTCCTAGGGCTTTACGTCTTAATAAGTTGAATAGAAAGCTTACAACGCTCTGCCGTGGCATGAGGTACCCTTTGGTTCTGAACATGTGAAAGGACCGCACATATTTCAGCCGGGGCTTGAATTACTGCCCAGGGTCATTGTCCCGGAGTAATTCAAAGAGCGATTTAGCTTCAGCATCTGAAATGGAGCCTTCATCTCCTGGGACCCATAAACAATGTGAACAGGGAACCTGTGGCTGAGCAGAGCCTCAAAGAGTAACTTGGCAAAGAAATGAGTTCATCAGTTCAAGTCAAAAGATGGCAGCCCCTGCCATGCTCATGACACACTTCCTTCATGCAGATGTTTAAATGAGCTAATGTAATCATGACGGGGATGGTTAAAATAAAGGCCCCTCCCCTCGGAGAAAGAGAGTGGCATTGTTGTTGGCTCTCCATTGACCCAAAGCAGGTACCTGCCCCAGCACAGCCTTGGGGGAGATGATTTAACCTCATCCTAGCCATGTTTCCAACCTGAAGGTCGAGAAGGACCATTGGAAGGGTTTTGGATGGGTCCTAGAGGTGAGGGCCCAAGACCCCCATGATGACTTCATTAAGGATTCTTGAAAAGAATAGACCGGAACACCCGATGTGTTGTACCTTCATTTATTTTTTTTCTCTGCATCCCATATTGTCCACCGGTACAATTTTCCACCCCCTTCACCTCATGTGCGCTTTATTGAATGCCAGGTTTCTACTAGTGCTCTGTCTAGAGCTGCTCTCAGCGTGTTGGGCATGAGCGGTTTCTGAGCCTGCGATGTAGCCCTGAGTGAGAAGACACGGGTACTGAGCCAACAAAAACCTTAACATCGGTAGCTGCAAACAAATGGGAGAGGAAAGAAGGGCGCACTCCCCCCGCACCCACCCCATGCAGAACCCACAGCTGTCAACCTGGGGGGGGGGCACCTCTGCTCCCCTGACCGAGGGGAGACAAAAGAGGGATTCTTTGTACACCCAGGCTGGCTCCTTTTCCAGTGACAATCTCTTGCTCCCCTTGAGATATCCACTCTGCTCTTTCTCCCAGGCATTAGACCAAGAAAAACATGCTCGTAAGATTAGCCCACAGGCATTTCTTCTGACCTGGCTAAAGAAAGAAAAGAGACCTGTTTGTTTTAAAAGTCAGGAACAAAGTGTCAGGTGGCTTTGATTTATGACAGAAGAGGAAGAAGAAAGTTGAAGTGACAGCACTATCCAAATAACCCTGCCCAGGAAACGGGGGTCAAGAGAGCTTTATCAAGAGCCCTTTATAGGTGAGCGCTTCCTTCCGTGTGGAAGAGAAAAGGCCGGAAGGAGGGAGAGAGCCCCAGGAGCAGGCGGGGACCCTCTTCGGCTGGGATGGGAGCCAGCGGTGTCCCTAGCGATAGGTTGGCATGCAGTTACAGGTGAACACGCGAACACCAGCAAAAAACAGAAAAGAAAACCTGCCATTGGCTGGAGCCTGTCCCCTTACAACAGCATATCTGCAGCAGTGAACCGCGTTCTGGTTTTGCGTTGATACAATCGGCGGTGTGAGTGCTGAGACTCGCACTTCCTGTCCCACCAAGCTGGGGAGGTGTGCCATGCTGTTTCCCTCTGGCCTCCCAGGGCCACCTGCAGGGGTGGGGCCTCCTCGGGCCACCCTCCCTGCAGGTCACCGAATTGCTGTTTGAATGCAACATCTTTGTGGTGTCTTCCTCGTGCAAGCGAAGTTATGTGCTGTCTCCCGGCCACATCTGTGCTCGGGCTGCTTAAATACTGTTTGCAACGGGAGGTTTTAATCTGGTTATGCAGAGGGAAGCAGGGCTGTGGGGCACGTTTAATTGGCTCCCAGCAGAGCAGGGAGCGCTTCAGTGGCGTGTGGTTTTCTTTTTTTTTTTTTTCTTTTTCTGTTCCCTCCCTCTAGAAGTGTTACCGTTTTCACGTCCTATTAATGTCCTCTGGTCATTAAATTACAGCAGCACATTATCGTGGAGCCGGGTCCCCTCCTGGAGTGAGTACAAATGAAGGGCATTCTACTTGGTACTTTCAGAGGTTTTGGGGGCATTTAGTGATTTGTGGCTTTGATCAATCCTGTTGACTGGTGTGTGTCTGACCAAACCTGTTTCAAATAAATCTTTTGTTAAAGTAAACGATTCGACCGTGTTTTATTCTGGAATTTTCTTTTCCGCTAATAAGCAGTTACTGCCGTGGGGGCTGGGGCCTGTGACGCAGGGTTCTGCCAGCAGGTGCGACCCAGAGTGCATACGTGGATTGCGGGGGGCAGGGGGGGGTGTCTCAATTGCAAATGAACGTGAGCTCCCCCTCAGAGGCCAGGCCCCCTTCATGGGAAGAGGGTCCAGGGGGGGCACGATGTTTGGATTTGGCCACTCGAAGGAAGGACTCGTGCTTAGAGACCTGGCTTCCCTCAATTGCTTTCCTCCCTCTGGTTCACCTGGGCTCCTCTGCAAACAGAGGCGGCAGTTCAAATTCTGTTGGCAAGCATGGAATCATGACATTGGTGTTTTAAAGAGAGGAAAGATACCTCTGCCTGGTCCATTAGTACAAGGAATTGTATTGCAGTCGGCGTCCTTTGCCTCGAGGTCCCGGGCGATGCCTCACAAGAGACAGCCTCATTGGACCTGGGGTCAGGTGGGAGCTGGAGGGCCCGGGTGTTGACCTTGGGTGTACCGCCTACTTGCCAGGCTTTGTCTGGGTGGCTCTCCACTGCCCCAGCGGGATGTGGCCTGGGGATGGGGGAACAGCCTGTTAGGTAGTTCTCTGCAGAGGCTTGGGTCTGGATCCCAAAAGACCTCTTTCTTGCCCACCCTGAACGGACTCCAGTTCCCATGGCTGACTGGTTCCTCCCAGACAGTCCCGGTCCTATCAGTCCTGGGTCCGGCGGGCTCAGGGCACTCCTGGCCTGGGTGCTGCATCGCCAGGCATGGCAGGGACACAGGGCCTCACCTCGGGAGCAGAGCTCTGCAGCTTGGAGCACCCCAGGGAAGGACTTTCTCTCCTGCTCTGCATAGGCCAGGCCTTTCTTTTTTCTTTTTTCCCAATGCTGAAAAACTGAAAACGATTTAATGCAATCAATGGCAAAGTGTTAAATTCCAGCATTTGCCATTTCTTGGTTGTATCTGTACAAAAATCTATCTTTGCTGCTGCAGTGCTTTTCCTGAAACGCCATTCTTCACTGGTGCTTACCAGAATAAACTTGAACCCCTGAGAGGCTGTTCTCAGCTGAAAACAGTTTGCAGACCCTCCCTTTCTGCCTAAAGCAACGTTCGTTGTAAGAGTGTCTTAGCTGAAAAAAGACTCAGGTAATTTTGGAAAATCAGATTGTGTTATTTATTTCCACAATGTTTATGGAAGAGACCGGCATAATATGAGGGTTGCAATGAGCAGCAAAGCGGCGGGCATATGACCAGGGCTTCTCAGCGCATCTGCCTCACTCTGCTCCGCGTGCAAGTCTTTCCAGGGAAATTTCCAGCACTTGTTGGAAAGCCAAGCAGTTATTTCAGCTGGGGCTACAGATGAGGCTCTGGGACTTTATCACCAAAGGAGGACCAAAAAAAAAAAAAAAAAAAACCCTCCACCTACCAAAGCTACAAGCACCAAACACACCCAGTCCAACTCACATGCATTAAGCTTTCATTTATTAAAAATAGGCCACACATATACATAAAGTGACTTAAAGTTCTTGAGGGTTGGCCTCACAGCTCTGTCTTCAGCTGTTCGTCTCTTTCTGCAGTGGACTGTCCTTGGCTTGAGATTCCAGGGCTGGATATTTAGGGGAAGGGAGCTACAGCTCATCTTCCTACAGCAGCGGGGCCTGAGCCTTCGATTGGAACGGTCTGCCCCAGGAGTAGTTTCTGCATCATTGTTAGTAGATGGTCGGCAAGGTGTAATGGTACGGATACTCTCTCCTCTACTCTAAACGAAACAAAACAAAACAAAATGTGGGCCGGGCGCTGTGGCTCACGCCTGTAATCCTAGCTCTTGGGAGGCCGAGGCGGGCGGATTGCTCAAGGTCAGGAGTTCAAAACCAGCCTGAGCAAGAGCGAGACCTCGTCTCTACTATAAATAGAAAGAAATTAATTGGCCAACTGATATATATATAAAAAATTAGCCGGGCATGGTGGCGCATGCCTGTAGTCCCAGCTACCCGGGAGGCTGAGGCAGAAGGATCACTCGAGCCCAGGAGTTTGAGGTTGCTGTGAGCTAGGCTGACGCCACGGCACTCACTCTAGCCTGGGCAACAAAGCGAGACTCTGTCTCAAAAAAAAAAAAAAAAAAAAAACAAAATGTGTTTTGATTTGAAATATTCTAAATTAATTGCCAAGAAAATTTCCCCCAACTTTCAAAACAGTGGCGAGGAATACATTAAGTTCTGTGTGATGAAAAGCTCTTTTGCCGACCCAACGCTCTTGCCAAATGGCCTTGAATGGAGAGTGTGTCCAGCTGCTAAGAGCTGGAAGAGAATAGCCCATTAGCGGCGAACAAAGCTATTACATTAAACTCACTTTTTCCCCTTCCCAGTGTCCTCAGGAGGAGCTGCCTGCAAATGACTTGCAAAGATGGCTGCGGGGGGGGGGGGGAAGCCCCTGAATCTGTTTCACTATCACATTTAAAACTGGCTGGGGGTTCCGGGGCGTGGGGTTGTGAGGCCCCCACTCATCTGTAACCGAAACCGCTTCCAAGAAAATGGATCCGGCACTTTAGCTGGAAAGCGTTTCAATCAGTCCCACTCCCCGGTTTATTTGATCAAAAAAGCCCCAAATGGAGCCACGAGCCCAGGGGAGCTGCAGGGAAGCCCCTTCCCCGTGCGGGAGGGAGACTGCGTGTGCAGACGTGGGCACAGACATGCCTGTCCGACAGTTCTGTGGGAGAAAAGGAAGGAGACACAAACGTACATGAAATGCAGGAAAAAAATTCATTCGAACCTTGAGATTTGGCATAGCAGCTCTGACGGTGGATAGGAGGTAAGTGAGGGCTTAGCCCCGTCTCCTTTCTGGAAGGAAATCCCACGCTGCGGCAACTGCCCGTGCTGCAGGGAACGAGCTGCAGGTGTGTCCAGTCCCGGCTGAGCCGCCAGCCAGGTGCGTGTCTGAGAACCAGGGGCCGTTCTGCCTAAACTGCTGCAGCTGCTGCTCCCTAGGAGAGGCCTGGTGGGCACAGGCCAGCAGCCTTGCGGTTCAGTCTGGTCCGGTCCGGTTGCAGTGGTTAGAGGTGGGGAGCCTGAGCTGCCGTCGACTTTGAATCCGCCACCCCAGGAAGCTTCAGCACGGGACCAGCAGACGCCCCTCCTTCTGCCGGACACGGGAGATGTCCAGGTGAACCAGAGCCCCTGCCCTCAGGGAGCTCACTCTCTAGCGGGAGAGGCAGACGGTAAAGGAATGTCCAATCTGACGCCCCGTCCTGCAGTGTAGACGGTAAGTCCATGCAGGCTCCGTGGCCTGATGCCAGGGCCTGATCCCTCGGGCTCCCGAGTGGAGGGTTCAGTCTTATTCCAACAAATGCCATCACCCTTCTCTTGCCAAAAGAACCTCTTAAAACTCCTGTGTGGCTTGACTTGTCCCTGCTGAGCATACACGTGAGTGACTGGGAGACGGGGCGGCGTGTGCTCCTGTCTCTGGCGCATGGCAGTCTCTCTGCTCACAGAGAGCAGCTCTGCCTCCGCCCGACGCCGGCCCGTCAGCGCCCCGCTTATCCTGCCCGCTTGCACCCCGCTGCTCCCGCCCCCTTCTTCTCCCTGGTGGCATCCATCCTTCCTGTCCTCGCAGGCTTGGTTCTGTTACAGTTGACCCCATGAGCTCTTCTCAGACACGGCTCCCCCTCCGCCGCCCTCCGCTAGCTTTGCCCGGGGCATCTGGGCGCTGGGGCTCGTGCCGGTTTTATGTTACGATGCGCATCTTACCCGGGCTGTGAGCTCCCCCCCCCAACAAGGTCTGCCACCACACCTGCACAGTGTAGCGGTCGCCATGGCGCGAACTCTGGGCTTCGGTCACTCGCATTTAAGCACGTACTTGGCCGGTTATCAGCCTCATGACCTTGGAAACAACCGTTTAGCTTCTCTGCACTTCATTTTCTTCACCTGCAGGAGGCCTGGGACACTACCTGCCCTGCCTCCTCACAGGTGGCGTGGGCAGGGCCGACATGCGGCATCCGCTCTGGTACGGCTTCCAGTTGATGGATAGCCACGGCTCTTGTCAGTGGAAGGGCCGCTTCTTCCTCCAGACCTTTCCACAGTCCGGCAACTAAGAGGTGATGCCCAGGTGGGGCCTCCTGACCCCACAGCATGACAGCCCTTGTCCGTTACGGCCGGCCAGTGTCTACTGCCTTCAGATTGAAAAGCGTTTTTAATAACACCCGCGGTAGGCAGCCTCTCTGTTCACTGTGCCATTCCAAAGCTAGTGCATATGGCAGGCACTCTGCTATATGCTAATGATACAGAAAAAGAAGGCCCCAAAGAGCACAGATCGGTGGGAAGACAGACGTATAAATATACAAGATGCAGCTGAAGCCTCTTTCAGTTATCTATGATTAGGCAACAAACCACCTCAACTCTCAGGGGCTTAAACTAACAACGGGTTCTTCAAAAAAATGAAACATAGCTGGAAGTTCCTATAGTTCCTGCTACTCGGGAGGCTGAAGTGGGAGGATTGCTAGAGCCCAGGAGTTCAAGACCAGCCTGGGCAACATAGTGCCATCCCATCTCAAAACAAGCAAACAACAACAAAAAAATTAAACATACAATTACCATATGATTCAGCAATTCCACTTCTGTGTATACACCCAAAAGAATTGAAATGGGGGGGTCTCTGAGAGATGTTTATACGTTCATGTCCATAGTAACATCATTCACAATAGCCAAAAGATGAAAACCTCCCAAATGCACATCAACAGATGAATGGATAAACAAAAAGTGGCATACAGAGACAATGGCATATGATTCAGCCTTTAAAAATGCAGTTCCGACACTTGCGACAGCTAGCATAGGAATGAACCTTGGATGAAACGTGAAGACAGTGAAATAAGCCAGACACAAAAAGGTAAATACTGTATTATTGCCACTTCCATGAGGTATCTAGTAGTCAAATTCACACAGACAGAAAGTGGAACGGTGGTGCCAGGGGCTGGGGGAGGGGAGAAC